CTCAGGACAGAGAACAATTGGGCACTTGCAAGTAATTATGTCAAATAACTGGTCCAGTTGCTTGGCAAAGCTGTCCTTAACTGCAAGTTTTCCTCTCCCAAGAGAGATATCTCTTGCCTTTTCCCAACTGGCTAGCAGTCTCTCACTAATCTTCTTCTGACTTGTTATGACTGGAGGCTTGAACTGAGCGTAAGCCAGAGTGTACTGTGCCAAGACAGCTCACTGGCAATGTCTTTGTTTGTGTAAGTTCTTTGGTTCTTTTCACTGATTTGCCTGATTAAAACACCGTATCTCAAAGCATCTCTCAATGTAGGCAACTCCGACTTCAGGAGCTCTCTCCCAGACCCAAGATAGTGACTGAGATGGCTGGATTTTTGGTTCCTCGTCCTGACACAAGCAGCCATCGCAAATATTATCAACTTATAAATGCATCAGAATCTGAAACAGAAAAAAAATATTGTTAGTTGGGTTGTTAAAGAATGAAGTCAGAAAGCAATGTTCACTATTTAATTGTAATGCACTAATGCAGCTGTACGTTAGATTTTCGATAAATTTCACGCTAAAATTTACCTAGCAAAAGGTTGCAAAATATTGAAACTGAAATTATTTTCTGTTTATATACACTAAAATCTACCAAAAAAGTGATGGGCCATTAGTTTTAGCTGATCTTCCCTCCTATGACACACCCTACTCCTCTAGTGTTCACAACCTCTGGTGGGATGGGACCAAGTGCAAGATGCTTCTATGCCAGACTCGCGCAGGTGATGTCCGAACAGAAGCAGCAGCCCAGAAGTTTGTTACAGCCTGGATGAAATGTCGACTGTCCTTCTCTCTCCTCCGGTCGGCTTTGCTCTGCCTCAGGGGAACGAGAGCATCGGCCCCAAAGCCGACAACAGTTGCAAATATTGACTATGAGGCTACAGTCACTGAATGCCACATAGATCTGCGGCTCAACTAACTCAACACAGCTAGGATAGCTACTTATGAATTAGGATATTTAATATTAAGGTAATAAAATCGTGGCGAAGGAATTGCTATTGGGGGAGGCTGGAGGCCAGTATAAAAAAAATAAAAAAATAGAAAAAAAAGTTGTTCTACTAATGCTTGTAGTAGTTGTGCTACTATTACTTGTAGTAGTTGTGCTGCTAATACTTGTAGTAGTTGTGCTATTAATACTTGTAGTATTTGTGCTAATAATACTTGTAGTAATTGTGCTACTAATACTTGTAGTCGTTGTGCTAATAATACTTGTAGTAGGTGTGCTACTATTACTTGTAGTAGTTGTGCAACTAATATTTGTAGTAGTTGTGTTCCTAATACTTGTAGTAGTTGTGCTACTAATACTTGTAGTAGTTGTGCTACTAATACTTGTAGTCGTTGTGCTACTAATACTTGTAGTAGGTGTGCTACTATTACTTGTAGTAGTTGTGCTATTAATATTTGTAGTAGTTGTGCTCCTAATAATTGTAGTAGTTGTGCTACTAATACTTTTGTATTTGTGCTATTAATACTTGTAGTAATTGTGCTACTAATATTTGTAGTAGTTGTGCTCCTAATAATTGTAGTAGTTGTGCTACTAATACTTTTGTAGTTGTGCTATTAATATTTGTAGTATGAGTACTACTATAACTTGTAGTAGTTGTGCTACTTATACTTGTAGTAGTTGTGCTACTAATACTTGTAGTAGGAGTACTACTATTTCTTTTAGTAGTTAATACTAGGTAAGGTTAGCTTGATTTTATGTCAAGTTACAGTTATATGTACCGTCCTTAGAAAGCTTAGTATCGTACCTCACTAGTATTAATTTTATACTCTTAGGGTAGATGACAGTGATAGGTTGTGCTAAATCCTGGTGTCACTGTTACAGACCTAGATAACGTAACGAGCGCCACCAGCCACACTACTTCCTTCGAAAGCAACACAGATGCCATCGTGGGCGGCGAGGTTGGTGAAGGACAGGAGGCCGAGGTGGAGAGAGAAGCACAGGAGGGAGGTCACGATACAGAAGTCCTCCAGCCTTCCCTAACGTTGCCGTCTTCAGAGGCCAGGCGGACCTCCTACAGGGCCATCCTTGCCAACAGATTGAAGGTGAGGCGTCCTATTTAGACTACTATTTATTGATTTTCAACTTTTTCAGCTCCAGTTTACGGACCTCAGCGTTCACTGTTCACAGCTGTTTATCATAAGTATACATCTAACACTTGTATGTCTTCTTGTATTTTATATCTCTCGACAATCTTTCATTGTCATAAGATCTTTTTTTATATGTTTAATATGAAATTTTGTTATGAGTTTTTATATTTTTTACCATTAATCCTGGTAGTTATCGAAGTTTTCTTCAGTATACTTTATATACCTGTTTTAGTGAGTCATAGTGAGTCATACAATACCTGAGTCTTTAAGAAACACCTCTGTTACGAAACGACCCCACACGACCCAAGATTATTTGTGCGTGGTTTTACACTTTAGGGGTAGTAACGTGTGTCTTTGGTCGATTTTACCAAGGGTTCTATGACTCTTGCTAGGAGGATAACTTAATCAATATTTATTTTTTATCCTCCAAGCAGCCGTAAAGTAAAGACGCACATTTAGCCCATTGTGCCTTATATGATATTGTGCAATAACACCAGATTATTTAATAAGTTATTGACTTCCAACTTTAGATATCTAGGGATAATTTATCAAAGCAACACATTGATTATTTTTGCAGTAAAATATAATTATTTGCCCACTTTAGGGAATATTCTCCCTTCGGTTCTTCGGTCAGAGCGATGGTGGTAGCTACAACCTTACGCCACTTTCACACCATTTAATGTGAACAAAAATATCGCTGTCAGATAACCAATGCATTATATTGTATTTTATTTATTTTTTAAACAGGCTACCATTATAGTAGTGATATAAAGAACATCACAGTATTTACAAGTTGGAAGAAGAGTTGGCAGTGACACCACTTTACTACATCTTATATTGTGCTCGAATGTAAATTGATGACCACCGTTTTTAAAAAGTGGAATACAGCTTCAAAACTATACAACTACTGCACCAATCTATTGCTGGAAATTTATGATGTAGGTTTTAAGTTTGGGCTCCTACTATACAGTGGAAAAGATATGAATTTCAGCCTACATTATTTCAAGTTGGAATAATAATAATAATAATAATAATAATAATAATAATAATAATAATAATAATAATAATAATAATAATAATAATAATAATAATAATAATAATAATAATAATAATAATAATAATAATAATAATATTTATTCAGGTCGTTTCAAGTTATAAAACTATACCTTTCTCCAGTTATTCACTCCTTTTTCATTACTTCTAGGAATCGTTGTAAGGCGATTCTTCGTAGGGCCAAGCGGAATTTTATACAAAGAAAGACCGCTGACCTGACTAGCTCTTCTTCTAGTAATCATTCTGGTCCTCAACCAAAAACTTCTGTAATAACTTCTGCACTCCCTCTTTTTCTTCTCTTTTCCGACCTCATAACTCTATAGCCAACTCTCCCTCTGATAAAGCCAATCTCTTTGGCACCTTATTCTCCTCTAACTCCATCTTAGACGATTCCAACTCTATCCCTCCTACTCCTGCTCCTCTTATTGAACCTATTCACTTTCCTATAATCTCCACTCGTAGGGTTGCTGGTGTGTTATCCAGGTTGAATGTGAGTAAGGCGCTTGGACCGGACAGAGTACCCCCTCGTGTTCTGAGGGGGTGTGCTGAAATTCTGGCCACGGTGCTTGTTCGCTTCTTTCGCCTTTGCCTCAAAACCCAGATTTATCCTTCTTCTTGGAAGCATACCTCGGTTCAGTCCATCCCGAAGAAAGGTGACCATTTCACTCTCTCTAACTATCGCCCCATTGCCCTCACTTCATCCCTCTATAAGATTTTCGCTCTCATTTTCTCCGTCACCTTGAACGCCTTTCTCTTTTGTCGTATCACCAATATGGCTTTCGCCAGGCGAGAACTACTGGTGATCTGCTCACCTACTGGACCCATCTTTGGTCATCCTCTCCTAGGGATTATGGGGAAACTTTCGTGTGGCCCTCGACATCTCCAAAGCATTTGACAGGGTATGGCACAAGTTTTTTCTTTCTAAACTTCCCTCATATGGTTTCTCTTCCTACTTTGTTCTCTAAGTGGCAGTTGTTGTCGAGGGATCGAACTCTCGCTTTTTCTCTACCAATAGTGGTGCCCCACAGGGTTCTGTTCTTTCACCTACTCTCTTCTTTCTTTTTATCAATGATTTACTTCACACTACGACTAATTCTATCCATTCTTACGGTAATAATTCTACTCTTCACTCTTCTTCACATTTTTCCCTCCCCCCTAATTCTCAAACTAGATCTAGCAATGCGGTTCTGTGCAGCATCTCCGAGAGGAGGTAGAAACTTGGTTAAATTGAATAGTAATAAAACACAGTATTTACCAATTACACTTTCCAAATATGATGATCTCCCTCCAATCACATTTCGGGACGCAATCATTCTGCTAAGTTCTAAAATAGATATGCTAGGACTCACCATTTCTTCTAATAAATCATGGAAGCCACGCATCCACAACACTGCTAAACCTGCCTCCCGAAAGCTGGGAATATTGTACAGATGCCGTAGCTACTTCACTTCTGAGCATTTGCTTCAGGTTTATAAGAGATTCTTTCGTCCAACTTGGAGTACTGCTCTCATATCTGGGGTGACTCTTCTTCTGTCCAACTGTTAGATAGGATGGAATCAAAGGCATTTCGTCTTCGTAATTTTCCTACTTTAGTTGATAATCTCTCTTCCTTTTCTCTTCGCCGCAATGTTGCTTTACTCTCTCTATTTTACAGGTATTTTAACGGGCAATGTTCGGTGGATTTGGCATCCTGTGTACCGCCGGCAAGACTGTCTTGCCTGCGGTGCCCAGCATTTCTGTGTGGATGTCGGTCACACTAGAATAACATGTTATAGTACACACCTTCTTAACTAGAATAACACGTTATAGTACACCCTTCTTTCCTCACACACCCAAACTGTGGAATGCTCTGCCTTCTTCTGTGTTTCCATACTCAAACAATCTGTCTCACTTCTAAATGCTGGTCTTCCGGCATCTTCGTGGTGTAGATTAATAGTATTTTTCTGTTCTATTTCTAATTTCTTTTTACTCTACTTATTTTTTCGCCCCCTAGGCCGTGTTGTGGGTCGATGACCTGTGCCCGGGTGGGCTATGCCCCGTGAAAAAAAAATGGTTGGTATACGGTTCAGCAAGAGCATGGGGTCCTTTGTTTCGGCTACGAAATTTCTAGTGGTTGAACTTTACCGATTCTTAACCGTTAGGTTAGGTTAGGTTATTTATTAAATATTTTTTTTTCGTGTCTTTACCACACAATTTGGGTTGGGTTGGTAAGATTTTCATGAATTTTCCCAAGAAATGAACGTGAAATCCATTCAAAACTCTTCGAAATATACAGGAAAAACATAATTTCGTCAAAAAAGTCGTTGGTGGTCCTAAACCGAATACTGACCCAAAACTTCAAAGTTCTAGCCATATATTTTCGAGAATATAACAGTTTCCTACTCATTTTATCCTCTGAAGATACTCTGATATTAACTAGTAATTCTGAAGAATGGAACATTATTAGTATTAAATGCATTAAATAAAGAAATAATCCGTAAAAACTAATGAACAGTTAACCGTCAACATTGGCAGAAATAAGTGTACGAATCGCTTCTCGGGATCTTTCGTAAATCAAAAGAATGACAGGTTTTTGTTCCTTACAGAGATGCTAGAATACTTAATAGCTACACTGTACTGTTAAAAAGAACGAAACAATAGAAAAACGGGATTTAACCGAATTCTTCGTCTTCCTCCCTTTATTCCTTGACTGGTAATCATTTTGTTTACTTTTCGTTCTCTTGGCGGCGCCACATGGTGGGGTGAACGCGTTCGCCCATTGGAGTGAGCTTTCTACATATAGTTTCAAAATCCTTGATTTTTCTCATTCATTGAACTTCAAGATGATCCTATATACACAGGGCAACCGGCCGTCAAACTAAATAACACAGACTCTCACCTCATATGGCAGCTACACCCCAAGTTTTAGTTAAAATCGACTGCTAGTCGGTGTAAGGAATAGAGTGCGCTAAGACAAGTGAGTGAAGTGGTGGTTTTCTAGAGCAGGTAATTAATATGGCACAAAATTTTGGATATAACAGTAAAGTGTCCAAGACATTGGTAGTTACGATGAATTTTCAGAGTTCGTTAAAGGTTTTGTTGAGTGGCAAAAAGGAGCGAATTTGACCTTCACTCTGTGTTTTCTATTTTCGCCACAAATTCGACACTGAGTAATTGCAAGGGAAGGATTTCGCATGAGTTCCCAACATGTCCTATAGCCAAGTCAGATATTTATTCTGGCATCATTGATATTTCGCTCTCAACTTCATTCTTCATTTATAGTTTTAAGAGAGGTTTTCTTGAGAAGAGTATTGACTCGACCAGTAGTTATAGTTGAGGCGTTATCAGGGATAGGAAGTGTTTAGGTGGATTTTGCGAGGCTGTCTACATAATCGTGTTTGTGGAAGCCAATATGGGATGCGATCCATATATAGTGTATAAGGAGGGCATCTGTCTTCGCCCTTATGAGGCAATGCTGGCTTTATCTCACTAGAACCTGACAGACTGGACGGGGTGAAGTGATCGACTCTAGTCCAGAACGAGAGTCGCTGATCACCAACCCACTCCGCTCCTCGTCCAGGAAGTAGTTGATGGTCCCCAAAGATGCCCTGTAGTTCACAATCTGTTGTGCTCGTCCAATCCGGTAGGCGATGCATTGCTTCAGCGACACACGTCATTCCGGAATAGGCCTCATAAGAGCAGCCTGCTGCACCCGTGTCCTGTAGTGAGCCGTCGGTGTAGATGGCTCTGGGATGACTGTTGAGACTTCACTGATCTTCTGTAGTGATGCTTGTTGTTGTCAGTGTAGTGTAAGGACGGCGTAGTGATGGCCTACGGTGCTGACGCTCGCTCGTCATCTATCTGAAGAATATGAATGTTGAGATCGAAGAACACACCAGAAAAGGTCTGGCGTAGAAGTTGAT